AATTGCTGAGGAGTCGGGTTGGAACAGATAAAAGGAAGTCCTTCTTCACCCAAAGAGAGATTAACACATGGAATTCACTGCCACAAGAGGTGGTAGCAGCTACAAGCATGGACAGCTTCAAGAGGGAACTGGATAAACATATGGAGCAGAGGTCCATCAGTGGCTATTAGCCACAAGGTACAGATAGGAACTCACAGGCTGGGGCAGGGGATGCTCTGTCTTCTTGGTGCTTGGGGGGGGCAACAGTGGGAGGGCTCCTCGTGTCCTGGCCCCACTGCTGGACCTCCTGATGGCCCCTGGTGTTTTTGGTCCCCTGTGTGACAGAGTGTTGGACTGGATGGGCCATTGGCCTGATCCAACATTGGCTTCTCCTATGTTCTTATGTTCTAACTCCATGTGTTCATTAACACGGATATGCACTTAAGAACCATCATTCCAAAGGGGCAGCTGTGTAGCAATGCTATTACTCAGGCGTACGCTCCATTGTTTGCAGTATTTACGCCTCAGTAATCATGCATGCGGTGGCTCAAGTGGTTAAGACGTTGAACTGCAGGCTGTGGAAGGTCAGTAGTTCAGCAGTTCGAGACCTGAGTGTGCCGCATGATGGAGTGAGCTCCCATCTCTAGTTCCAGCTCCTGTCAACCTAGCAGTTCGAAAGCAAGAAATTGCAAGTAGATCAATAGGTACCACTTCGGTGGGAAGGGAACAGCGTTCCGTGCACCTTGGTGTTTAGTCATGTCGGCCGAATGACCGCAGAAACGTCTTCGGACAGCTCTGGCTCTTCGGCTTGGAAACGGAGATGAGCACCTCAACCCTAGAGTCGGATTCGACTGGCTTTCAAGCAAGGGAAACCTTTTCCTTTACCTAATCATGCCTGGCACTGCATCCTCTCCTATTCCTTCTGCCTCGTGTAACGCAACTGCCTCCATTGCTTCCCCCCAGGAAGGTTCCTACCACCAGGGCTCATGCCTTGCCAGGGCGCACGCACCGCTCAAGCTAAGAACGAGGAATAGTTAACGACACATTTGCTCAGTGAAAAACGAAAGAGGGGAAGGAAGGTAAAGTGTGGGACGCCTTACCTTTGAGAATCGGATGAATAGCCACTGACCCCAAGGGGTCCCGCTTCTTACCACTTCCACCAGAGACCGGCAGCTCCTCAGCTTTTGTTGGGGACAGGGTCATGCTTTGGCTAGTGCCCGCCTCATGGGCCGAGTTTTCTCAGATGTTACCAATCAAAGCCTGGCCCGCGCAGCCTCGCCTGGCTGTTGGAAAATCCCGAGGTCGTTTTGAAAAGTGGGGTGTAATAGAGTTTGCCTGAAAGAAAACCGACAAGTAGGGGAGGCAACAAAAGAACCGGACTTCAGATTCCATCCTTCTCCAGTTTGGTGTAGTGGTTAGGAGCACAGACTCTAATCTGGGAGAATCGGGTTTGATTCCCCACTCCTCCACTCGCAGCTGCTGGTGTGACCTTGAGTTAGTCACAAGTTCTCTCAGTCAGAGCTGTTCTCTCAAGGACAGTCCTCGAAAGAGCTCTCTCAGCCCCATCTCCCTCACAGAGTGTCTGTTGCGGGGAGGGGAAGGGAAAGGAGATTGTAAACTGCTCTGAGAGCCCGAGTGAAGGGCGGGGTATAAATCCAATCTCTCCTTCTTCTTTGAACATTTCAATCCAGCAACATTTAAGCTATTAATCGCCTTACTCCACGGAACATAAAGTCACACTTCTTTTTTTTGCTTCACAACAGCGCTTTTTAAAAACCTACAAAGATTCAGTACTTCATGATCTACTGCATTACAGATTCAAAATTATTCTGGAGGGACCTTTAAAATCCCTTTAAGAGACAGTTTTTAAGAGGTATTGGGGTAAAAATAGGTGTAATACTTTGGATGCACTCCACCTTTTTTCTCTCTGATAAGCAGGCCTGATACAATGCTAAAATGTATCCATACATCATTTTATAGTAAAAAGGTAAAGGTTCCCTTGCTCGAAAGCCAGTCAAATCCGACTCTAGGGTTGCGGTGCTCATCTCCGTTTCAAAGCCGAAAAGCCAGCGCTGTCCGAAGACGTTTCCGTGGTCATGTGGCCGGCATGACTAAACCCCGAGGCGCATGGAACGCTGTTACCTCCCCACCGAAGTGGTACCTATTTATCTACTTGCAATTTCTTGCTTTCGAACTGCTGGGTTGCCAGGAGCTGGAACTAGAGACGGGAGCTCACTCCGTCATGCGGCACACTTGGGTCTCGAACTGCTGAACTACCGACCTTCCACAGCCTGCAGTTCAGCGTCTTAACCACTTGAGCCACCGCAGCTCCTTACATCATTTTATACATCTGGTTTTTTTAGCAAGTCTCAACGTGATGCTTCAAGTTATGATAGCTCTCGTCATCATTGGCATAGTAGTGCCAAAATGGGACCTGGGTTCACAGCAGACTTTTGGGGGGAGGAGAGCAGGTTATTTAACTTTTAAGCTATGGGCTGACAGAGACAAATGTGTGCAGGAAAAGCTCTTCCCATCCTGCAGTGTGGCCTTGAAATACAAGCGCAGCAAGAGGTAATGGCAGGAGATTGGAGGATGGTGCTGTCCATCTTTTCTAGAGGGCAGTGACAGGCAAAACAGGGGTACTTTTCATCAGTGTTTTCCATTCTTCCTTGCCACTGACCAAAAAGAAAAAAGAAAAAGAGGAGTCCAGGGCTTTGGAAATAAACACCCCTTTCCATGGAAGGAGTTGGTTCCATGGAAGCCAGTTTGGTGTAGTGGTTAAGTGTGCGGACTCTAATCTGGGAGAACCGGGTTTGATTCCCCACTCTTCCACTTGCAGCTACTGGATGACCTTGGGCAAGCCACAGTTCTCCCCATAGCTGTTCTGCTCAAGAGCAGTCCTCGAAAGAGCTCTCTCAGCCCCACCTACCTCACGGGGTGTGGGGAGGGGGAGTTTGTAAACCGCTCTGAGACTCCGAGTGAAGGATGAGGTATAAATCCAATCTTCTTCTCTTCTTCTTCTTAACCAATAGCGTTGCAGATGGAAGATATTAATGCATTGCTGCAGTGGGAAAAGGGAAAGTGGAGCACACACTATGAGCTGTGGCTCTGAGGAGGGGCAGAAGAGAATGGAGAAGGTTAGGTGGAAGGAGGAACAGATGTGTTGCTCCCTCCAAAGTGGATTCTACCTTACACTGATCTCAAGTCTCTCCGTTCGGACTTCTTCTCAATGGCAAGTCAGTTGCATTACAACACGCGCACACATTTATCTAACTTATGAAGTCGTTAGTCTAATTTTGTTATTTAATCATGTGCCTAGCAATCGTGTTTCCTTAAGAAAGGGCTGACCTATTTTTGGCCGGAGATAAACGTAGTCTGCTTTCCTGTAAGCACTTCACATACCCACGTTGTAGACACTAATAACACACAAGCATACACAAACAAAGAGAGCCAGATTCTCAAACGAACTGACATCACTAACTTTTTAAATGGAAAAGGGATAAATGCACCCATCTTTCCCCACTTCATAAATGCTGATTTGTTCTGCCTCAACTCCCACAGGCTTTTACTTGGTTTCCACAGGTTATACCACTTGGCATTTTTTAAAAAGTAAACCAAAACCCAAGTTTTTATAAATCTCCCCAAAAGAGGGGGGGGGGGGTTTGATCTTCATAAATCTGGATTCCAAATAGCCTCTTTTTTAAAAAAAAAATACTGCCTCATGGAATGACTAAGATAGGGAGGGACACTTTACTTTTACTTTACTTCTTACTGGGTGATTTCCCACAAGCGCTGCTCACGATGGTACGTGTCAATTTCACACAAGCTGCTACTGCAGCTTCCTGTGATGGCTTCAGCGTGTGTGAAATTGACACGTACCCAAAGGTGTCTCAGAGCGGTTTACAATCTCCTTTCCCTTCCCCTCCCCACAACAGACACCCTGTGAGGTAGGTGGGGCTGAGAGAGCTCTTGACAGAAACTGCTCTTTTTCAAGAATAGCTCTGACAGAACTACGGCTTGCCCAAGGCTCATCCAGCAGCTGCAAGTGGGGGTGTGGGGAATCAAACCCGGTTCTCCCAGATTAGAGTCCGCACACTTAACCACTGCACTAAACTGGCTCTTCACCAAACTTGCTTTCCATAGTCAAAGTCCAGGCATCACTGTTTCTGTCACATCCTGGATAATACCCAGACATGATCATTTGTGATGCAGAAGTCTGTCCCAAGGACTTTTGTGGTGGCCCTGCTTGACTAGTCCAAGGAGACTTGATTCTGGGTTTTATCTTTATTATCCTAACTTTCAGGTTAAATGCTCTTCCCCAGGCCTTTGCTTCAAAGGACACCTTTCCAACTTTGGCTCTCAGAAGCTATTCTGGAGACACACTGAGGAATTCCTAAGATATTGCATAGGGAACTTTATAGTGGTCTATAAATATTGTCTGATACTGCTCTAATCCAGACCCCGGCAGCGTATAGCATCTGCCCAACAACTCTAGAGTTGAAAACTTTAATGGCCGCAGGAACATATTGGCCACCAGAAGAATAGTAAAATCTTGAGATGGCATTTCCAGTATTCACAGCAGCTCTTACAACGGAGTTAAAGTGCCCCTTCCGGGAAAGATCTGCCTGAAAAGTAATCCCTAGATATTTGAAATGGCCTCCCTGTTCCATAAGTTGATCTGCTACTACCCACTTGCATGTTTTTATCCTTCATTTGTCTTGGCAACATTCATACCTTATTCCCTCTATATTCCATCTAAATTGAGTTAGTGTGAGCTAGCTCCCAGTTTTTTAGCCTCCGGCTCATGCATTTTTGTCCGGGCTCAGGAAACTAAATTTATGCAGCAGCCCAATCGCTGGCTCACAACTTTAATGCCAGTGGCTCACCAAGTAGAATTTTTGCTCACAAGACTCCACAGCTTAGAGGGAGCATTGGACACAGAGTGCTCGCCCACGGTTACTGCCCTCCAAGGTAGGGTCACGACTTAAGCATTCGCAACCTGCGACGTTCTTGGATAAACCGTGCCCTTAAATCTGGCTGATGCTGGGATGGAAGGACCAAAGGGGGGGGGGAAGGGAAGGGGGGGGAGAAACGCCCGCCCGCCCGCCTTTGCAAACCCACCGCTGCACCAAGACAATCTGCAAAAACACGCTCCATAATTTCAGGGGCCGCTCCAAACCGGGCGAGTGGAGGGTGGACACACACCCCCCCCCCCCCCCGCCTTTGCAAACCCACCGCTGCACCAAGACAATCTGCAAAAACACGCTCCATAATTTCAGGGGCCGCTCCAAACCGGGAAAGCTTGCAAGCTCCCCACCCACCCACCGACCCCACCCTCAACAGCCTGAAAAGCATTTCATTTTCAAGGCCTGCAATTTGCTCTTGGTTTCGTACTGGGTGGGTGTCGCATCCGAGCTCCGCACGCCCAGCCCAGCCACCCCAAGCACCGCCCCTGACGAAGCGTCCAAAGCCAGAAACCCACCCAACAGCACCCCTCTTCCCCCAATCCCTTCCCCATCCTCCCGACAGCCCCAAATGACTGCTTGCATAAAAGTCTCTCCGATTACTGAGCGAGACTGTTAATGGGAACGGTGCAGGTTACCCCACGGGCGCAGAAACAATATTGCCAACCAGTGTTCCCTCTAAGCTGAGTGAGTGTGAGCTAGCTCACAGTTCTTTTTACCCTCCGGCTCACACAATT